CTTTAGAGCGGATGACATAATTAGAGGAGGCAGATAGAGGCCAATGAGGCTTAGGACGTGTAATGGGGCCATGGTTCGCTCAGCCCCGCAAAGAAATCCAGTCCGCACTGAACTTAAAATGGCTGTCCCAGAGCAGCAAGCAGCCATTTTAAATGTGTCATGGTATTTTTGTGTGCTGCGCTCCAATTATGTTGCAAGACATGTCTTCAGTGGCCTAGATTCAGCATGAAATGCTGGAGAGGTGCAAGTGCTACTTAGGATAGTAGTGTTTGAAGGGATGGAGGTGGGTTTGAGGTCCCCACTTCCTCCCTAGAGTGCAAGAATGACCATGGGGCTCCCACACTTGAATCTATTGCTTCACTGGTTGAGTACAAGACAACAACATTAGAAGTATGCCTATTTATATTCCACCCTTCTCACCCCGTAGGGGACTCAGGGCGGATTACAATGTACATATACATGGCAAACATTCAATGCCATAGACACACAACATATATAGGCAGACACAGAGGCTATTTAACATTCCAGCTTTTTCATGAGGATATTCTGGCCACCAGGGGAGCTGTCGTTTCACCGGCCATTTCTGACACTGATGAATTACTTCCTCATTCTTTGCAAGCTTGCTGGAGATTTTTATGGTGTCGCAAATTTGCCTCTCTGCATAAGCGGTACCTAAATTTCCTACTTGACAGATGCAACTGTCTTTCAGGCTGCAAAGATCGACAGTCAATCTAACCTATTCACACCACTGGTCAAGATGAATCAAGATTATTTCAAGCATCAGCATTTTATAGCACTTCAGAGCTGCAAAGAAAAAGACAAAGAGTGCATGAGCACTATCTCTAATGCTTATATGGTAATCCTTATCTGAAGTCTATGTGTCCAGCACAGAATATAGCCAGAGCTTGTCTGTAGATGAGGATGTTTCTCAAGGTCTGGCATTGTGTGTAGTCATAACATCTGGTTTGTTGGCCCTAGGCACATAATATTGCAATTATAGTGTTTCTAACATAACACAAATGACAGACCTTAGCAAGCAAAGTCCATGGGGAGATGTCAGCTATTGTCAAAATGGAGTTCACCAGGCCCTTCAAAAAGATCAGCATACACTTGGACTTTTAATTTTTATTTTATGCCAACAATAGAAGAATAATGTATTGTTGAAAGCTTTCAAGGTCTGAATCACAGGGGTTTTGTGTGGTTTCCCGGCTGTATGGTTGTTTTCTAGTAGCATTTTTCCTGATGTTTTGCCTGCATCTATGGCTGACATCTTTAGAGGAAATGAAGATGCCAGCCACAGGTGCAGGTGAAACGTAAGGAGAAAATGTTGCTAGAACACGGCCATACAGCCTGGAAACCACACAACACTCCAACAGAACAGTAGTTTGACAGGTTTTAGCAAACATTTTAGTCACAGTTAACAACATGCACATGTGAAATCAAACACCCAGGTGGAATCATAGACCAACAGAATTGGGAGAGTCACATGGGCCATCTAGTCCAACCCCCTGCCATACAGGAAAAGCACAATCAAAGCACGATCTAGCCTTTATTTAAAAGCCTACAAAGAAGGAGCTTCCACCACAGTCCGAGACAGATAGTTCAGCTCTTACGCTCAGGTGGAATCTCCTTTCCTGTAATTTGAACCCATTGCTCCAGGTCCTAGTCTCTAGGGCAACAGAAAACAGACCGGCTCCCTCTTCCTTATGACATCCTTTCAGATATTTAAACATGGTCATCATGTCTCCTCTCAGCCATCTTTCTGAAGGCTAAACATACCCAGCTCTTGAAGCTTCTTCATAGGTATCAAGCAAATTTTGCAGAAGTAAACAAAACTTGTTGAACTTGCTAGATATCACTTGAAAGCTTCTTCTAAAACTGCTTCCAGGATTTTCCCTCTTTTCTTATCCTCCATTATTCTTGTAATTCCCATTTTGATGATCAGCACTATAGAGTTATTATTTTATAAAATGGGAAGGCAGGCCTATCTTCTCTCTCATACTCCTCCCTCCTCTTCCATGGTTTAGATCAGTGGTTCTCAAACTGTGGGTCCCCAGATGTTTTGGCCTTCAACTCCCAGAAATCCTAACAGCTGGTAAACTGGCTAGCATTTCTGGGAGTTGTAGTTATTCACCATTAGGAGGAGAATCAAAAAAAGCTGAAGAAATAGACTTCCGGTCCAAGATTGCAGTAAACAATGCAATGAAGCATTGAGGTGGAAAATTGATGAAATTCCACTGCAGTAATCCTACTGCGGCTCTGTGTGCCTTCCTACAACAAGCAAAGTAAAGAGCAGCTCCATAATAACTAATTAAGAGTATCTAAATCAATGGTTCTCAACCTGTGGGTCCCCGGTTGTAGGCCAAAACACCTGTGTATCTAAACCAGTGGTTCTCAACCTGTGGGTCCCCGGTTGTAGGCCAAAACACTTGGGAACACACAGGTTGAGAACCACTGGTTATCAGGTGTTTTGTTAACTGAGAGATATATATGTTTTTGGTTTTGTTGCTCATCCCCCTCTGACAGGAATTCTTTCCATAATTGCTTGAGCAATTGCATTCTTACTTAGTGGAGAAATTCAGGGTGAATATCACTTTTGCTTGGACACTGGTGTGAAAGGTTGAGGATGAGTTTTCAGTCACATTTAGCTCCCAATGACTTGTAACTGCTGTGAGACACAATGCACTACGCACTTCAACTGTTGTTTCCATCTATGGAGGCTCTTGTAACTTAGATGATGACAAAGTCCTGATAGGTGCCTTTGTGCATATATATGTGTGGAGGTATTGTATTGTCAAAGGCTTTCATGGCCAGAATCACTGGGTTGTTGTAGGTTTTTCGGGCTGTGCAGCCATGTTCTAGAAGCATTCTCTCCTGATGTTTCATCGGCATCCTCAGAGGTTGTGAGGTCTCTTGGAAACTAGGAAAATTGGGTTTATATATCTGTGGAAAGTCCAGGGTGGGAGAAAGAACTCTTGTCTGTTGGAGCTAGGTGTGAATGTTTCAGTTTGCCATCTTGATTAGTATTTGATGGTCTGACAGTTTTTAGGTGTGGCTTGTTACTGTCTGGGGGCATTCTCTGCTAATAATCAGAAAGCATTGTTTGTCAAGTTTAAGTTTGATTGCAAGTTTAATTTTTAGTATATTCAATTTGAAATAATTTTCTCTGCATCCACCTTACATAAGGATTGGTTTGTTTACATCTCTTAATCTTGCACTGTTAGGCTAATGAAATGAAATGATGCTTACATGTGTTCATCTTCCTGAATCAAAACAATGATTCAGAAAAGAATTGAAGGAGCCAAGGTGCTGTTAAATTCTTGATTGTTAAAGCCACGCTGGCAAGTGGCCTATCTGTGGCCAAGCAAATAAACCTCATGACTACCTGCTCTTGTTACCTAAGAAAAACAATCTCATTAGACATCGTTGAAGCAGTCCTGTCTCTCTCTAGATGGAGTAGGTCTCATTGCATTCAGTGAGATTTAGTTCTCAGGTGACTATTGAAAGATATTTCAGTGCGGCAAGGCATGTGATTCCTTGGCTGCATCATTTTGTTCCAAAATCACTCATTAATAGCTTCTGCCAAGCCCTTAAAAATGTGGTGCAGAGGGCAGACAGAGAGGGAGGAAGCAAAGCTAAATGGAAATGGACAGAGGCATTGAACGAAATACTTCACTTGCCATATTTACTCAAATCTAATACTCATATTTTTTGGCAAAATTACCTAGCCAAAAGCGAGCTGTACATTAGATTCAATGGCATGTTAGAATTGCTAGTTAGTGCTATCAAACTGCATTGATTCTACAGAATAGATGCACATTTAAGTCTTTTTCTGATTTTTTCACTATGATCTCCTTTTTGATTAAAGGCTAAGCCCAGATATAAACTTCTATAATTATTTCAGTGTTATCATCATCCACTTTTAAGGCATTAAGTTTGATGAGGATTCCTTTTCAACGTTCCTACTTGACTTTCGTTAGTAGTCATTCCAGGCCTTTGCTATTTTCTGCTAATAATAAGACATCATGTGGCTTTCTTAAATATTGATGTTCCTTCCTCCAATTTTAACACTTCCTTCCTCCATGTCTAATCCCAACTTCCATGGGGTATGTTCTACACATACATTACATAGATGGAATAACAGAATGAGTCTTGACTGACCCACTTGCTAATGAGAAACTATTTTGTGTCCCCATATTTTTCCCTAAATGTCCAAAGTATAAATAACACACTAGATCAATCAAAGATTGCAGCATATTTATTTCTTCTAAATGATCCATAAATTTGTTATATACAGAATCAAAACTTTGCTATAGTTGATAATAGGCGTGAGCAAACTTCATCCCACCAGGTGTTTTGGACTTCAACTACCACCATTCCTAACAACCTCAGGCACCTTCCTTTTCCACCTCAGGCGCTTAAACTATCTTCAAAAGACCCTGCTTAAGTGCCTGAGAAGGAAAAGGAAAGGGCAGGACTGAAGACCGACAGGTCGCAGGTTCGAATCCGGGGAGAGTGCGGATGAGCTCCCTCTATCAGCTCCAGCTCCTCATGCGGGGACATGAGAGAATCCTCCAACAAGGATGGTAAAACATAAAAACATCCGGGTGTCCCTTGGGCAACATCCTTGCAGATGGCCAGTTCTCTCACACCAGAAGCGATTTGCAGTTTCTCAAGTCGCTCCTGACACGACCCAAAACAAAAAACAAAAAAATCTTTGTTCTGTCATTCTGGAAGTACCCTGGTATGTTACACTTGTCCTAACAGTTCCTGATCAAAATGTGTACATGGTGGCATATCTTGGTGCAAAAAAATGTCTCTGTGTGCTCAAAATATGCCCAATGCGAATTGGATTATATTGGATTAATAATTTTTGCCATCTTGACCACATTCTGCCCTTGTTTGGATGGATGTGTCAGAATTTTCATCCATGAAATGCTGGAGTGTATGAATCTGCACTTTATCAGATTGACCTCGGCTCTATTCTTTATCCTCCCTAGCTGTCGATCATGATAGGCTTGCGGCTGCTGCATACCTCCCTGGAGAGCATCACCAACCCAGAAGATCCAGAATGCGAGAGTGAAGGGTGGGTCCTGGAGAAGAGCCTGAAAGACACTTTCAAAAGCACCTTGGAAAATTTGAAAAGTATGGGTAAATTGAATCAAGTGGATGCAAGTGCAGAAGGTGAAGGAGCAAAAACCCAAGCAGTCACAACCGTCAGTTGAGTATCTTGTCTCATAAGACTGTTCAAAGACTGAGATGTGTGAATATCCACTTTTTAAAAGTCATAAGCCATCACAGCTATACATTTGTATACACCAAACACTCACTTTTGTACATATGGCCAACATAGTATAGTTCACATTGGGATAATAAAAGCAACCTTATGGTAGGAGCATGAGATAGCCAGTAACATTTATGGGAAATGGCTATAACATGATATTTCTTGAAGCAAATAACATCAAGCTATTAGGCTTGTTATATTTGCATCTTAAATAAGGGTAAAAAACTGGAGGATGTTATCCTTTATTTTTGTCTCTTGTCATTGGAATCTAAATGGGGAAGTTTAAAAATAAATTATTTTTGTACTAAAGTTTATGAGATACTTGAAAATTTTAATATACTTTTAAATAGATATATTAGTAGAACAAAATATAGTTTGAGATGTCAAGCCAGATAAAAGATACATAGAAAGATGTACAGTTTGAAAGATCATTTGGATAAAATCAGAGGTTTAAAGTTGTTACTGAAGGACAATTTTCTGTCATGTTCAAATGCAGCATTGTACAATACAAGAAGAGTATGATTATAGTCAACTTTTATGCACTGAACACAAAATTGTGATTTTATAAAAGCAAGATTAAATTCATTTGGACGTCAAGATAAGCTATAGCCTAAGATGCCACCAGCTGCTTGGGTGCTGTCCTACCCAATAATTATGGTAGCTATTCCTGTATCTGGTTTGCTAGATGTGCTATAATAACTGTGAAATTAAAACTAACCTCTGTCTTATAAAGTAATAATGGCAACTAACTCTTAATGCTTGGCTACCAGACGGAAAGGGCCATCTCAAATCAACATTTAGATTTTTGAATTCTTCCAAGATATTGATAAGGATTAAATACTCTGTTATAAAAAGGCCTGTACATTAATTCAGTATATGGGATGTCATGTAGAAAACACTATTTTTTACCTTGCAGCAGACAATATTGACTTGGTGCATTTTCCAGTCCAAGATGTACGCAACATAAATGTCTTGTTGTGAAAACGACAATCATAACAAATGTCCTTTCATTTTACAAACTGGAATGAAGCGTGGGAAAATGTAACCTTGGGTCTATATGAAGCTGAGATTTTATATTTATTTCTATGTACATAACTATGCGTATTTGGCTGTAAGCCTTTTCCAAACACCTCCTATTAAGCATTTAGCTGGCTTAAGCAGAATCCTAGATGCTTTTGAACAGTACTTTTCAAAAAAAGACTTACTGGTAACTTGCTCGACAGCAACAGTGAGTCTGTGATATTATGGAAACGGAAAGGTAAGCTAGAGGTGCTCAAAGAAGCAGAGTATGAAACATGTTATTGAGGGAGTACTTGCATAAGGATTAAGGGAAGGGAAAATGTTTTGATGCATAGCTTGCATATGAAGATGCCTTATATTGAACTGGTGTATGAGTCCCTCTAAGGCTAGAGGTATATTTCACTTACAACAGGTCTTAAGACTTCCGCTGTGTTATTGCTTGGGTTCCTTGTAGCAGGAGAAGGCAGGAACTATCAAGGGGACTTTCTCTATTCACCTGTCATTCAGATGTGGCATCGTACATGCGGATGGAAAATGAAGGCAGACAAATAATTGCTCCTAGATAGGGAATATGGAGTTCTAGATTGGGAATATAGAGTTGTAGACATGGAAATACAAAGACAGCTAGAAAATAAGGGAGTTTTGAAATAAAACTATGGCATTAAAGCTGCTAAATGGAGTAGGAAGCCAGGATAGACACTTAAGGAAAAACTGCAGCTTGCAGTTGATGGAGGTTAGTAATCTAAAGAAAACATATGGCAGCAGGAAGGAAATATCAATGGTCGCCTCAGTATATGGAGGCTGAGATACAAGGGCTTTGGCAGCAGGTACAGGAAGAGAAAGGCAAGTTTAGAAGAACCTGGTGGCATCTTAAACATCTAGAGGAGAGCCAAATGAGAACTTTATCAAAGACTCTGGAAGCTTACTGTTGGTTCTTGACCTGTAGGGTTCCCCCCCCCCCCCATATAATAAAAAGGACACGTCAATTAAGTGTATTGTCTTACCTTTTTCATAATCCTTTGTTGATATCTGCATAGAAAATGTTTGCAAGGTTGGTATAACCCTATGGGTCCTAAATGAATGCTCCAGAGCAGAAAACAACTTGGAAAGCAAGTTTTAGAAAGGAGTGTACAGTACTTTTTGTGCAATTACAGATATGGAAGGGCAATAACCAAAACATTGGTTAAGCCTTGATCTGAAAGGGAACTAGTTTGGTTTCCATGAGCCTCATTTTCAAAGGACAAGCAGTTGGGTGAGCAATCCAATTAAGAATGGCATCGGAATTGCCATTTGCGGTGATTTCAATGTGCAGCGCTCTCTCTATGATGCATTTGTAGTCATGGAAAGTACCACACATTAATATGTCACACATAAACTTATTGCACCCTTAGAAGTGTGTGGCTGAGACTCTTCCGTCATTGGGCATCTTGTAGAGAAGGCATAGACAGACTTCAGTCTCTCCAGTTGTTTCAGACTTCATCAGATAGGTGGTGGAACAGACCATGTTACCTGTGGTACAGTTATTTTTAAATTTTTTAACATATTCATCTTTACATATGTTGTATGCTACTTGTAACATATTCTGCTATATTGAAATACTTTGGTTCACTTACAAAATCACATTGCCACAGCTGAACTCAAGGAAACCTTCATTAATGTCAGCTATCTAGAGACACGAGTGGCACAGTGGGTTAAACTGCTGACCTGCTGATCTTGCTTATCAAAAGGTCGCATGTTCGAATCCGAGGACTGGGGTGAGTTCCCGCTGTTAGCCCCAGCTTCTGCCAACCTAGCAGTTCAAAAACATGCAAATGTGAGTAGATTAATAGGTACCGCTTAAGCTGGAAGGTCACGGCGCTCCATGCAGTCATGCCGGCTACATGATCTTGGAGGTGTCTATGGACAACGCCGGCTCTTTGGCTTAGGAATGAAGGTGAGCACCAACCCCCAGAGTCGGGCACGACTGGACTTAATGTCCCGGGAAAACCTTTACCTTTTACCTATCTAGAGACTCTGAAAGGAGATTTGTGTTGGAACATAGGAACTGGAGCCAAGAAATGGGAAGAATTGGTTCTTCGGAAAGAATTTGTTTTCTCTTCCTTCTGAACACATATGGTCATAACCGCTGGGTTGTTGCTTCGAGCAGGATAAGACAAACAGGACAAGTTAGCTACGTAGGTCTCGTTTTATTGAACTGCCACAGAGACAAAACCAAGTGGTGAAGGTTGCCCACTGAGAAGGAAAGAAAAATTGTTCTTAGACAAGGCAACCAGAAAAATAATGGATTATTATGTAAGAAAAGGTATTCCAGCTCCTAGGGGTCTACTGACATGTCTGGCTTGTACCATGAAACTGGTAATATGTATTTGTCCTATCAAACAGAGATTTTTGTGAAACTGTAAATGCCATTTAATTATGTTTGTAGGTGCTATTTTGCTAGTGTAAATGTAGATATTTACAAAAAAAATGTATTTTAAAGGTACTTGTTTAAAGAAAATGCTAAATATATTATGTTTAATACAATGCCTGCCTCCTTTATTTATCTGTGTTACTGGGTCCCTAGAGTTATTATGTAGCTTTTACTCATGATTGTTTTTTGAGTTTATTGTAGGTTTTCGGGCTATATGGCCATGTTAAATTTGTACAGATTTCACCATCATCTAACCCAGGCATCAAAACCATTTTGGAAAATGTGTTGTCGAAGACTTTCATGGCTGGAATCATTGGGTTGCTGTGAGTTTTTTGGGCTGTATGGCCATGTTTCAGAAGCATTATCTCCTAATGTTTCACTTGCATCTATGGCAGGCATCCATCTATGGCAGGTCCTCACAACCTCTGAGGATGCCTGCCATAGATGCAGATGAAATGTCAGGAGAGAATGCTTCTGGAACATGGCCATATAGCCCAAAAAACCTACAACAACCCTTCGATCCCAGCCATAAAAGCCTTGACAATTGTTTTTTGACTGGAAGAATTCATAGCTGACAGCTGTACCCAGTTTTTTTTCAACCTCTGGATTTAAGTTCCACTGGAAAACTACTTTTTAACAACACAGTTGAAATGCAGCAGCTGAAGAAATTGGAAAGGCTGGCTAGTGGTAAATGCATACAGATGTCTGATGCGGCCACTGCTAAGCATGTCTGGGTTACCTAGCCCCTGCTTGGGAGCCCGTAAGTTGGGGGATACAAGGAAAACAAGATATAGGAACATAGACTGGCATCCTGATCTGTGCAGGCGCAAATCCAGCTTTTGTCTACACATCTTTTTAAATCACTGTGGAGAATGAGATTGTCTTCCTCTCTCAGTCACCAAAAGTGACAACGCCCCAAGTGGCCTCTGAGGAGCAGGGAACATCTGGGAAGCATCTGACTCTGAGGCCACTGTTAGATGCACAACCATGAAGGCATCTCTCCTTGGACCTTCCAGGAGTTTTTCAAAGGTCTCAGAAGACAACATTGTTTTTGTGTGTCTGGGTACAGTCACATAACTAGATGCACTTCAACCATCGTCTCTATTACATAGCCATGGCAATGGAGAAAGATGAGTTTGTGGAAAGGTGAAGGTAGTTCTGTCATGCAAACATGTTGTGGCATTAACATTTATTTATTGTACATATATACTATTCTTCTGCCAAGGCACTCATTGAGGTTTGGAGTGTAAAGGTTGGAACACAAAGGGTGAAACTGAATGCTCCACTGGTGACACATTCCCCCCATTTCTCTTCTCGCTGCACTTTGCACTGACCAGCAACCGGCAACAATGGACTTCCAAGCTCTTAAGAGTTAATATTTGGGGCACATGGAAAATGCAAGACATATGAAGGCCAGCAGAAGTTCATTTTGGTCCCTGCCTAAAAATGCAGAAAAGGCAAAATAAGATAAAATAGTAAACACTTCAGGCCAAGGGTCCTCAAACTTTTTAAACCGAGGGCCAGTTAATGGGCCCTCAGACTGCTGGGGGCTGGACTATAGTTTGAAAAAAATGAACCAATTCCTATGCATACTGCACGTATCCTAGTTGTAGTGCAAGAAACATGAAAGAACAATACAATATTTTAAATGAAGAACAAATTTAACCAAAATAAACTTACCAGTATTTCAATGGAAAGTGTGACCTTGCTTTTGACTGATGGGATTGTTAAGGTAATTCAGATTGTTGTTGTGTGCCTTCAAGTAATTTCAGACTTAGGGTGACACTCAGTCTAAGTTTTAGGGCAGGTGTGGGTAATTGACTTTGGAGGGCCACATTTGTTTGGGGACCTCTGCTACAGGCTGTTAGCACTCTTAATAAGCTAATATGGGGTACCCTTCCCTTCTTCTGCCTTTTGCTAAACATTTTAAGTAATCTGTGGTAGGGCAGATATTCTTGCAACTATTCACTTGCTGTCCCTTTAGGTCCTAAAGAGTTTAGGAGATTAATGAACGAGCTTTCTAGTTAAGGTTGCTCTTCCCTACATTTAGAGGGATTTCCTTAACACATGTGATATGATGCTAAGCGATGGATCAGTATTCACTACCTGGGCTATAAACAGATGGACAAACCTTGTGTTGAGTCCTGTTTAGGTAACCTACACCAAAGAGTGTCGGTATAGTTCACCTCTCAGAGTTAGCTGCCCTAAAGATAGGCTGGCAGCCTGTTCAATAATCATGATGTTGTAAACCTAACTGAAGATATTGTACTTATTTCAAGTCATCCCTGAAATAATTGTTTTATGGCCAGTTAATGGTCCTGGTAACGTCCTGACACAAGACTACTACAATAGAGCTTTCTGCAGTGTGCCACACAATCAGGGGAGGTGGGGACACATCATTATTCACCGTTCTGCTTTCCAACACCTCAGAAATTGTGGTGGTAGTGGAGGCAGTAAGGTTTCAATGGTAGGTAGGCTTTTGAAGGGTAGCATCAAGAGGTATCATAGCTACATCTTCAGGATCTTAGCCATGGTATTCAGAAACCTACAACTTTTGGTCTCAATTAGCTGCTTAGCGTCTTGGTTTAGAGAGGAAAGCAGGGAATAAGGAAACAAATGTAATTAATTCTTACACTAATAAAACTTTTGCTTTGCAGTCAAATGAGCTGTAGGCTGCTGATGAAGCTGAAATGGAACAGAATGCCCAAAACTTCAGAGATGTAATTTCTATTCCACCAAAGGCTGAGCCCTTGTTTTTGTGTCAAGCTTTCTCATGGTGGTGGATGCACATTCCATGTGTTTGTATAAAAGCTGCTTCAAGCCAATGCTTTAGACACATATCCACCTTTGGGCTCTTAAAAACTGGCACCTCACATCCATAATCAGCCAGTACGATCGCATTGCTATGTATGGAACAGTTTTGTAGGGGCACCCCTCAAGCAACAGGGTTCTTTTAATAGCATGTGCTCACATGTAAGCTTTATGCAGCTTTCCTTGTTTACATAACGGTAGCTGGCTTGAAGCCACGCATCTCCTGGTTGGTTGCTGTGTCTTCTGTGCATGCCAATGGGCACCACTGAATTTACCCAGACATTCTGCAGTGATAGCAACATGTTGTTTCTCTGCTTAAATTTAGAGAAATTGAATGTATTACAAACAAGTAAAAACTCCCTTATTCCTACAAAGAACAAAATGAAACATATGAAGAGGGAGAAAATGTATACGCAGCTGCCTCAAAGCTAATTATTCCTAAGTAACCTTAATACAATTTATGAGATTAACCTTCATGCATTGCTCTATCCTGGACACCTAATACCGGACAATGATTGCTTCCCTGTGTATATACTGCTTAGCAGGGAAAGGCTATTTCAGGCCCTGCATGTTATGAATAACCTCCATTGAACTGGCAAGTGGAAGAATTTACAGCAACGAAACAGAATTTTGTAAAGGAGTTCCATAAACACTAAAATGTAGTGAAGTTTATTGCTAACTTTCTTCATATGAAGGCCGACACTGACCTCAGAAGATCACATGAGATTTTAAAAATGCTCTTTAAAAGAAGAGCATTAGAGGTTAATTGATTAAGAGATAAGGCCAGAGAAATAGAACATCACATGCTAACAGCACCCTACTGGGAGATAAATGCCTTGGCCAGTTAGACTGGAGCTACCAAGGCAACAAGTGAGGAAATTAAATCTATTTTCAACCCCAGAGAAAATAGTACCTGACCAGCTTTTGCATTATAATTTCCTGTTACTACTTTGACAGATAGAAAAGTGGGGTAGAAAAGTGGGGGTCTGGCATGCATTCTATTGATTACATTCCAAGTTATTCGGTAGCGCATACATTGCATCAGGTTCAGTGGGAACAAAGTCATCACAAATTGTTCTCAGCCATTAAAGGGGGAAGTCAAATGCAACTCAAGTTTGAATATAATCCAATAAGTTGGTTCACATATGTGGACACTGCTTGTAACTTTCAAATGTATATATGAAACAGCTCTGTAGAAAATCGGAGTCTCTAAGATGACATTGCAATAGAATCCAACCCACTTATCCACCATTTTGGTTACCCATCCTACCCAGCCCATCCAGGAAGAGTTCGTGGGTGTTTCTAAGTCCTCCAGTGCAATTGCATGGTATGTTTCTGCCTCACGTATAGTCAAAATACAGGGTCAGCCATGTGGAACAGCATTGTTTTGGATGCCCATCAGAAGTTTAAAAGAAATGGAGGCAACCTAACTTCTTTGGCTAGGAAAGTTCAGTCAGAGAAAGCGTACTCACCAACTTGCTATGCATACTAACAAAATACTAGGATATGGAACAGGGCATTCACTGAGGATCTCAAAATTCTACCTGGCTCATATAGGAAAATGGAGTTTTTCAGATATCCTGGATTTAAGCTGTTCACAGCTTTATAAGAGATTTAGTATGGTAGTGGCTTGAACATCGGACCATGGCTCTGGAGACCAGGATTCAGTTCTCCTCCTGGCTGTGTAAACCTACTGGGTTATCTTGGGCAGGTCATACACTCTCACCCACAGAAAAACCCATGATAGGGTTGCCTTGGGGTGTGCTGAGACTACTTGAAGGTACACAATAACATCAACAAGGTCAAAACCAGCAGCTTGAATTGAGCTCAGAAGCAAATTGGAAGCAAATTGGTTCTTGCACGACCAGTGCTAAATGATCTCTAATATTAATTCCTGGCAACATTCTGGTTCCTCCATTATGCACTGCAGCTTCTGAATGCTTTCATGGGCAGCTTCATATGCAACACATTACAGTAATCTAATCACCAAAATCTGATTGACTACATCCTTTGCAGCCAAAGGTGGCAGACATCCATTCAGTCAGTGAAAACAAGACCTGGAGCTGACTGTAGTTCAGATCACAAACTTCTTATTGCACAATGTAGAATCAGACTAAAGAGAATACGGAAGACACAGATACCAGTTAGATATGATCTCACTAACATTCCTAGGGAATATACAGTGGTGGTGAAGAATAGCTTTAAGGGACTAGATTTAATAAATACAGTCCCAGAAGAACTATGGACAGAAGTTTGCAACATTGTTCAGGAGGGGGCAACAAAGTACATCCCAAAGAAAAAA